TGTCATCAGCAAACTTGCTGAGGGCACATTCAACCCCACTGTCCATGTCACCAACAAAGATGTGAAACAGCACCGGTTCCCCTGGGGAACACCACTCGTCACTGGTCTCCTCTCGGGCATCGAGCCGTTGGCTGTGACTCTTTGAGTGCCACCATCCAGACAGTTCCTGATCCGTTGTGTGGTCCATCCATCAAATCCACGTCTCTCCAGTTTAGAGACAAGGATGTCGTGCAGGACAGTGTCAGACGCTTTGCACAAGTCCAGGTAGATGATGTCCGTTGCTCTTCCCTGATTCACCAACACTGTAACCCCATCACAGAAGCCCACCAAATTTGTCAAGTGTAATTTGCCCTTGGTGAAGCCGTGTTGGCTGTCACCAATCGCCTCCTTATTTTCCGTGTGCCCTAGCACAGTTTCCAGGAGGACCCGCTCCATGATCTTGCCAGGCACACAGGTGAGACTGACTGGCCTGGAGTTCCCCAGGTCTTCCTTTTTTCCCTTTTCAAAAACGGGGTTATGTTTCCCCTTTTCCAGCCAGTGCTACCTTTGCCGGGCTGCCGCGACTTCTCAAATATGATGGATAGTAGCTTAGCAACTTCATCTGCCAGTCCCCTCAGGACCCACAGATGCATCTCATCCCACGGACTTGTGCACCTTCAGGTTCCTTAGATGGTCTCAAACCTGACCTTCTCCTATAGTGGGCAGAAGAGCAAGCTCATCGCCCACATGGCTACGATGAATATTCTATGATACTATCACAGCTCATTTCACATTTTTTAGATGAGGAGCTCTCTTAGGAGAGCTTAAAAGCCAGGTATCCCTGATGTTTGCTGCAGGCTTGACCATGCTCTATTCCAAGCCAGTGATGAATTTCCACCAACTTTATTGTGAAGAATTTCCTCTTCTCTCAGGTTTTAAGGACAGAAGTTGAAGGAAGTAATAGTTCCAGGTGCTTAGTATTGTGCAGTATAGTCTTCAGATTATATAGAGAACAAAACCAATGATGATGAACAGCGACAGCACGAACAGAGAATAACACTCTTTTCCTCCTCTGCTTATCTGTCATAGCTCTAAATGAAAGCGCATATGAGCCACTTAATAGCTTTCAAGAAAAGGTGACCTTTAAAAGGCAGAACTTATGGAAAAATATCAAGATACTGAGATACACTTCCAAATAACAGAAGAAGGAAATAACTGTGGTAACACAGATGCCATAAGGCAGTTGCTTGCCATTGAAATATGCTTTTTTACTGTTGATTTACCACACCTGTATTTCACATATATTACTCAAAACCCTTTCCCCATATGATAAAAGCCTTGTCCGAGAGACAGTCTCTACGTGTGCGTGAGGACTGAAGAAAGCATTTGTTGCATATTTAATAGAGCTGAGTACACTCAAAGAAAATGGAGATTCCCAAGGCAATTATTCCCAGAGTATTCCTAGAGGCAAAAATATAAGCCATGCTAAGCAGCAGCAAAGGAATTAAAGATACCCAGCACCTGCAGATTTTACCATTATCTCAAAAGAACAAATGGGTGAAGTCCTGACTCTAAGAGGCCAGATCTTCACTAAATGCCTCACAAATTATTAACAGCACTGATGGTACAGTATATATGGACACTTGACAAAATGTTAAATTTCTCACTACAGTCATTAACGTACGATAATCACTTGTGATGCAGTTATAACAAAGGCAAAGCATGAAAATGACCAACATGGCATTTGTGTATACCTGAAGATGGGTTTAAGGTTGGTTTTCATTAGCATAGCGAAAGAGTACACCACAACTGCACATTATTCATGAGTGCTATTTCCAAAGAAAACGGGCTGTACTATAATTGCTACTTTTCTATGCTGAAGTGTAAGGCTTTCATAAAAATGAGAAATTATGAAGTCTACATATCTTAATTACATCACCATCTTGATGTTTAAAAATTAACCAAGACATATTAATGAATGCTTTACTAAGGCTTCATGAAGTATGTTCCCTAGACAGCAAAAGCCAGTAATGACAAAAGGTACTAAAGTTGGCTTCAGCATGGAACAGCAAGACATTTACTGTTTAAAGTCATTTTTCAGGTAACTTTGTTCTTAAAATGGTACTTACCCTTGAAAAAGGGTAGGGTAGGTAAATTTCAGGACAGACAGGACATACTGAAAAACAAATACCAAATTAATGGACATCAAACACCTACAGCGTTATAACATTAACAAACAATCACGAGAGCAACAAAACACAGAAAGTTTCTACCAAAATAAAGAAAAACAAAAAGACAAAAAAAATAATACAGTGATTTCTCTTCCCATGCCAGAACTGGGGATGCTGCCCCAGTCACTGTGGGAGCAGACACTAAAGTACATGAGTGGACACACTGAACGAGAGAAGGCTACCTTCTGAATCACTCTCACTTTCTGAGCACACTCAGTGCATTGCACTGAATGGGAAAGGGGTTAACAGGAACAAAAAGACAGAAGCACTTGTCACATCATACCATAGAGGCAACCTTTGCAGAATCAAGACCAATAATTTTAACATAATTGTCTCCTGATGATTCATTCATCTTACAGTCCTAACACTCTGTTCACAAACTATTTTGCGTAAGACACTAAGCAGTCCCTGAAGCCCTTTAGAGATGTAATATATGGGGGGAAAAAAAAGCAAAGCCTCTGTGTCATTGCTTTAGTGTGCTTTGTCAGGGTCTGCGTGTGCGGATGCTAGTGTCTTTTCCCACTATATATGTATATATACAAACATGAGGCAGAAATACACATGCCTTTTGATGTGTTTCCCATAACGACGTATATAAACACCATTTCTGCAAAGAAGAAGAATGACTGAAGATTCCTCAGAGGAAAAAAAAAGGTACCTGCCATTCCTACCAGGAGCCAGCAGCAGCTGTCAATGGCAAAAGGAGAAGCTGAAAGCTTTCAACAGAGAGGAAACTGTGCTGTGCACTTCGCAAGGTCCAGTTTTTAGGTGGGGGGGGTGTCACTAAGAAGCTGGCATTGATATACAGAGACGAGGCATGCTGACTCACAATGGGCCATGTTACACATACCCTTGTCAGAACTGCTACGCGGGCAGGATGACATACCTGCACGTGCCCATACCCCCATGTGCATTCACATATCACCGGCAACAACCGAAAGGTCCACGTTCTGGTTATTTTTCACATATCACACTAAAACCTACATTCAGGTTTGAAAACAAAGGCCATACAGCAGTCCTTCCAACTTGCTCTCAAGCATAGTCAAGCCAAGAACCTTTTCCAACGCATGATGCAATCTGGCAGTTCTAGTCCCTTTCTGTTTAACTAATCACTGCTTGTAGCACTTTGTCAAACCAAGTGTATTATCTCTCCCTATGAACTTTGCTTCACGTCTGGACTTCAGTGTACTTCTAGGCATCATTTATGGCAAGTGTACCTTGGAACAGAAACCAGGGGCAAACGATGAGATTTCTTTTTCACCTCCAAAATACTGCTTTTCTCTAACTCTCCCTCAGGAAATCCATACCTTAGTAGCTTCAGGAATATCTTTTCTTTCATAAATCTGCACCAGAAACACAAGACACACTCTCTGATAAATAGGACAGCAACGAGTGCTTACTCTATGCCATCCTCCCAGAGCAAAAAAACTACTTTGAACTATGTTCAAACGACACAATTTTATTCACAATGTGGCCATCTTCAGCCAACTTCTTCTGCTTAGGCATTTCAGCAATACCAACAGGTAATTAAGTTGCACAGTGGAAAACAGCCTTCTTGTCCTCAATTTCCGGTTAATTAAGCTGTCCAAGCATCCATGGAAGTTTGTATTTGTTTCACTACTGCTGTAACCCTTTGAATACTTCACATTTTTACCTTGGATACTTGGTATTATTGTTCCAGTTAACAGACCTTCCTTTGGGGATGGCTGTGCATCCAGTGGTTGTCAGAGAATAATGAAATACACTCAGCATCTCTGATGCTTTCAAAGCAGCGTGATTTCCGGCTCTACAACCAATGTTTCATTCATTTGAATGACACGATGTCACCCCTTCACTCCCCTAGGTATGCCAGTATTGAAACGTACGTGTCGCGATAAGGTAAAGATGTCACACACCGAGAAACACGACAGCTACACTCTCAATTTCGAGAGAAACTGGGACGGCGGCGGCCCTCGGGCCGAAATGCCAGGGGGTCTCTCTCTCCTCCGGGAGGGGCTGCCCCGCCGTCTCCCCCCGAGCGGGGTAGGGCAAGCAGAAGGCACCATCGTCGTCCCTCCTCCTCCTCCTCCTCCTCCTCCCGGGTGCCTGCCCTTACCTCGCCCC